CTTTATGTGTAGGATAAAACACGTCAGAGGGTTTTTATGAGATTTAAAACCCAAATCCATGGGATGAAACGAAGGGGATGAGGATTTTAACAACAGACCAACAACAAACCAACAACAGACCAACAATAGACCAACAGGCAAACAGTAGACCAGCAACAGACCAACCGGAGACCACCCGGAGACCAACAGTAGACCAGTAATAGACCAACCGGAGAACAACAGTAGACCAGCACTAGATCAACAGACCAACAGACCAACAGTAGACAAGCAGTAGACCAACCGGAGACCAACAGTAGACCAGCAATAGACCAACCGGAGACCAACAGTAGACCAGCAATAGACCAACCGGAGACCAACAGTAGACCAGCACTAGATCAACAGACCAACAGACCAACAGTAGACAAGCAGTAGACCAGGCCCTATTTGTGGAAGCGTCTGCCATGATGCTGCAGGATGGGCTTCCTTTATGGGTACACCTTTACTGTTGGATTACATACACTATATAAACTTGGTTACAGGGATAGGCTGGCATTGATTTCAAATCTGGTGCATGGGACCTTTAAAGAAACTATGTGTTCTATTACAGTTAATGAAACAATCATGTAGATTGCCCCAGTTGGAGATAAAGGGCTGCTTATGTAAATCTCTGTTTTCATGCAATCCGAAGTTGTTAATGTGGAGTAACTGCTTGTTCATCTACAAGAACAGTCAACAGGAATAATACGTAACCCAGTTTATTACTCGGACCAAGACATAATTCAGACACGTTGTGGTTCAGGCCACAATTTCCCAACAACAGACCAGCAGAAGACCAAAAGTAGACCAACTGTAGACGAACAATAAATTAACAGTAGACCAACAATGGGTCAACAACAAACATGAAACCAACAGTAGACAAACAGGAGACCAAAATCAGACCAACAGAAGACCAAGAGACCAACAATAGACTAGCAGTACGCAAACAAACCAACAGAAGACCGCCAACAGACTTACAGTAGGCTAACAGTAGACAAAGAGTAGACCAAGAGTAGACCAACAGTCGACCAACAGTAGACCAAGAGTGGATCAACAGAAGACCAAGAGTAGACCAACAGTAGACTAAGAGTAGACCAACAGTCGACCAAGAGTGGACTAACAGTAGACCAACAGTAGACAAAGAGTAGATCAACAGTAGACCAAGTGTAGACCAAAAGTTGAGCAACAGTCGACCAAGAGTAGATCACCAGTAGACCAAGAGTAGACTAAGAGTAGATCAACAGTAGACAAACAGTAGACCAAGAGTAGATCAACAGAAGACCAACAGTAGACTAAGAGTAGATCAACAGGAGACCAACAGTAGATCAACAGTAGACCAGCAGAAGACCAACAGTAGATCAACAGTAGACCAACAGTAGATCAACAGGAGACCAAGAGTAGACAAAGAGTAGACCAGCAGTCGACCAACAGTAGACCAAGAGTAGATCAACAGTAGACCAACAGTAGACTAAGAGTAGATCAACAGTAGACAAACAATAGACCAACAGTTGACCAAGAGTGGACTAACAGTAGACCAACAGTAGACCAAGAGTAGATCAACAGTAGACCAACAGTAGACCAGCAGTAGACCAACAGTAGATCAACAGCAGACCAACAGTAGATCAACAGGAGACCAAAAACAGACCAACAGATCACCAGTAGATCAGTAGTAGACCAAGAGTAGATCAACAGTAGAACAAGAGTAGACCAACAGTAGATCACCAGTAGACCAGCAACAGACGAACAACAGACCAACAGTAGACCAACAGTAGACCACCAGTAGACAAGCAACTGACCAACAGAAGACCAACAGTAGATCAGCTGTACAACCAGGCCCTGTTTGAGAAAGCATCTGCAATGCATGCTGCAGTTTGGGAGTTACGAAAGTGTACTTTGAGAACCCTTGAGTAACCAGTCCTGTTCTCCAAACAATCATACTGAAAGCGTAACGAGGCATTTAGTGTTTCATTAACGTGCAACACAATATTTTCTCCCAATTGGTGCTTCTCTGACTGGCAGCTGATTGTCAGCAAGTTGTGAAGATGAATGGCTGCAATATATATTCAAATTCAGCCTGCATAAGAAGTGCAGGCAGGCTGTACTTTATACATATACATATATATAACTCCACTGTGGTTCAGCCTAATCTCCATATATTTCTACTTCCAACACTTCTGTTTGAAAAAGATGGAAAACAAAACACAAAGCTGCATTCATTTCAAATTACAAGCCATATGCCACCCTATAATAAAATAAATACACTGGCCGAAGTGTTTTTGAGTCACTGAATTACTGTTGATTGTTGAATGAATATTTCTTTGTCAAACGTGATGAAAGGGAAAGTCGGACTTCAAACATATCAAGAAATGCCTACTTTTCATAAACAGGATTTAACTAACAAACACTGTCTTCAAAAAAGTTTATGAATGTTCACATGACCCTTCCAAGGCTTCGTGAATTCACAGGACTGACTCATAATACTCTCATACATACAGAAAAACCTCGTTACTAGGGAAATTACTGTTCCCACTAAGGTGTCCTGTTTAAAAATAATAATTCTGGATTGAGTAGACACTGGTTCTTAACCATTAATAACCCTTTGAATATGTATGTATGCTACTCAACTTTTGATAAGGATAATCAGATATGTCATTCTACTTAAATATACACATGACATATAAGTTTTCTGTATCATGTAAAGTCATGAATACATCCCTATCAAAAGTGGGGTGGCATATTTTCTGAACAGTAATCTGGAGTGTGGATTTGTCAGCACCATGCCCGTGCTCGTGGGTTTCACCGAAGTGGTAAACGTCTTAGACCTGCATCACTTCGGGCTTTCCTCCCACATTAAGTTGACACGCCGCGATATAACTGGAATACTGTTAAAAGCGGCGTTAAACCCAACTCACTCACTCACACTGGAGTGTGGATTAATAAGGATTTCGGTGCATATTTATTTAAAAATATTCATCATAAAAACACATGCATAACACATACATTCAACATGGCAGCCAAATGTGTTTGGAACATGAAGTTATCTCCGCTAAAATATTTTGGTAAATAAAAAAAGTAGGAATATTTGTTTTTCAGACACAAAAGATTGACGAATGCTGCTTGCAATCAGCATACCACCCAATACAATCTGTCACAAGTGTGGAGACAAAGGTTCAATCATGTAAAACACTCTTAAAATACAGATGGAAAGTAGATCTGTTAAACCATCACCTAACGCACATTTCTCAAACAAAAGACACTTCTAACGGCAAAGCCATTGCAACAAGCATCCTTTGATGAAACAAATGTGAAAGCAATAATCACGTCAAAAAGTAAAATAGGCAATAAAAAAATCATATTTTCTTTGTGAAACAAGAAAATGATCAGATTTCAAACTTGAATGGTTGCAGTGGGCAATGTAAACACCATCCAGTGAACGTGATACAGTGCACTAAGTCAGGGCCAGGACGAGGATGAGGAATTGTGAAAAGTTGACATCTAAAATAAATGGATGATGAATCAATGACTGCTATCCCTGAGTACAGACAAAACACACAGAGTGAAGGCTGTCATGCAAAACAGTTTAGGAGACAATTGAAATTTAACGTTATTTTGCAAAAGAAGTAAATGAAAGGCTTGATGAAAGGCTGGACGGATAAACCCAGTCCACAATGTGACAAACATGACAGAAAGAAAGAGACCTGTTTATCATGTGTAGTATTTTCACAAGTCAAATTGACACGTAGAAAGAAACCATTTTGGCAAGACATAACATTCTTGAAATGCAAAATCTCTGCTGAAGACATTACGTGTTTGTTTCAATATGCCATTTCAAAACATTCTGCCATCAGGCTCTGCAGCTCATCAGGATATCATGCAGATCACTTATTAACTTGTTGCAAGCATGGAAAAGCCCAACAATGACTTTTCATGAATTTCCACAAAATTGGAAGAAACCAATAATTTTGTCTTACAGTTTTCAACATCAATTACTGAAAAAAAACCACTCCTTCATAAACATGTATGAACAATATATAAATAGTCATGTCACCTCCCACCCCACGAACATCCTCCCACCCCCAACTACATTCCATTACCCCACCAGAAATCCAAGATCCTCAAAATTGTGTCTAACCCCAAGAGTCAGGAGTTTCTTTCTAGAATTCACAACTGTGGACCACCCCACCCCAATCTGTCCTTTATTCTCCGTGATGACAAGACCCCAAATAGGACTGTTTCCCTGTCATGTAGACTGCCATGTAGACTGTCAGGTAGACTGTCAGGTAGAGTGGCGAGGAGGCCCCAAACAGGTCTGTTTCCCTGTCATGTAGACTGCCATGTAGACTGTCAGGTAGAGTGGCGAGGAGGCCCCAAACAGGTCTGTTTCCCTGCCTGTCTTGTAGACTGTCATGCAGACCGCCATGTAGACTGCCATGTAGACGGTCATGTAGACTAACCTGTCATGTAGACAGTCATCAAGGCTGTCATCTAGACTGCCATGTAGACTGCCATGTAGACTGCCATGTAGAGTGGCGAGGAGGCCCCAAACAGGTCTGTTTCCCTGCCTGTCTTGTAGACTGTCATGCAGACCGCCATGTAGACTGCCATGTAGACGGTCATGTAGACTAACCTGTCATGTAGACAGTCATCAAGGCTGTCATCTAGACTGCCATGTAGACTGCCATGTAGACTGTCATGTAGAATGGCGAGGAGGCCCAAAACAGGTCTGTTTCCCTGCCTGTCTTGTAGACTGTCATGCAGACCGCCATGTAGACTGCCATGTAGACTGCCATGTAGACTGTCATGTAGACTAACCTGTCATGTAGACAGTCATCAAGGCTGTCATCTAGACTGCCATGTAGACTGTCATGTAGAGTGGCGAGGAGGCCCCAAACAGGTCTGTTTCCCTGCCTGTCTTGTAGACTGTCATGCAGACCGCCATGTAGACTGCCATGTAGACGGTCATGTAGACTAACCTGTCATGTAGACTAATCTGTCATGGAGACTGCCATGTAGACTGTCATGTAGACAGCCATGTAGACCGTCATGTAGACTGTCATGTAGACCGTCATGCAGACTGCCCTGTAGACTGCCATGTAGACTGCCCTGTAGACTGCCAAGTAGACTGTCATGTAGACTGTCATGTAGACTGTCATGTAGACCGTCATGTAGACTGCCAGTAAGACCGTCATGTAGACCGTCATGCAGACTGCCCTGTAGACTGCCCTGTAGACCGTCATGTAGACCGTCATGTGGATTGTCATGTAGACTGCCAAGTAGACCGTCATGTAGACTGTCATGTAGACAGTCATGTAGACTGTCATGAAGACTGTCATGTAGACTGCCATGTAGACTTCCATGTAGATTGACATCTAGACCATCATGTAGACTGTCATGTAGACCGTCATGTAGACTGTCATGTAGACTTCCATGTAGACTGATATTTAGTCCGTCATGTAGACTGTCATGTAGACTGCCATGTAGACCGTCATGTAGACTGTCATTTAGACCGTCATGAAGACCGTCATGTAGACTGTCATGAAGACTGTCATGTAGACTGTCATGTGGACCGTCATGTAGACCCTCATGTAGACCGTCATGTAGACTGTCATGTAGACTGACATTTAGACCGTCATGTAGACCATCATGTAGACTGTCATGTAGACTGACATCTAGACCGTCATGTAGACTGTCATCTAGACCGTCATGTAGAATGTCAAACACTGCAGCCTGATATCTTCAAGTTAACACTATAAACAGTTCCCTTTATTGCCTCCAACTTTACAGCAGATATGTTGTACCCGATAACTTCCAGCTCTGCATGAACAAGCCCTGATATGGACATAAAACTTGGGATATTGCCTCCAAATAATTGGCGACTTACAATAGATCCTGAGGGACCACACAGACATTTTTCTATTCAAATGAGGTTCTTTTTCCTCCATTGTAATGACGCTCCCCCCCGGTTTACAGTCTTGGCGGCGTGTATTTGTCACTAAAGCCATTCCTGTGGACGTGTATGCAGATTTTATTAGTATATAAACTTGCCTTCCAGATGAACTTCACATCCATGCTTGACAAAGAGATGCCATTATCATCAACTGTGGCTTTCTGACATTCTTGCGACAACATTGTGACAAGTTTTCTTGATGAACGAGTTTCACTCCTGTATGCCAAAGCTAATGGCTTTGAAGCCAATGATATTTGTTATAATTACATGGTCTGGGGGCTGAAATGGTCTACTTGTAAACCGAGGATCAGAAATACAAGACTACTTTGTTACAGCAGGAGATCATGGGAGACAATACAAACCTGGAGTTATGAATTCTGAAAGGAGAACAAACACAAGGTGATGCGTATCAGTGCTTTCACCAGTCAAGAAAACCTCCATCATTGATATATTATACAGACCACTGATTGGACAAGAACTATTGTTATTGTTTTACCACCCTGTTCCGCAGGACTGTTTCGTGACAGTAACGCTCCACTGACACAGAAGAATAAAGTCTTAGGTCAATAGATGATCTAATGATGAAAAGGTTCGGGTTAACAGTTAGGACAATATTTCACTTATAACATGGCATGGCGTCTTGGTCATAAATAAAAACCTAATGTGATGCACTTTGGTGAAACCAACTTTTGTACATGACTAGGATCGAGGATTCAAACCCATGCCAGTGAATCATCTCTTTGCACAGTGAGCTCAAACTACTGGGCCATTAGGTCTCACTGGCAGCTGGAGACACATCAAACACGGAATGGTAAACAAGGCGACTCTACAAACTTATAAGCTGGAGTCTTATGTCTATGACATAGGGCTGGGATGAGTAACTCAGGTACTCGGGCCGGGTGGGTACTGAATAGGATCCGGGTACCCACATGACTCCCCGGACCCGTGGTTAGTCCATGATATATTTTTAATGAAGAAAATTATCTGGAACTCCATGGTTACACTATAAGTCGCTTATATTGGCATTTCTTTCAGACAATGCACGCATAGCCTGAGTGAGTGAGTGAGTGAGTGAGTGAGTGAGTGAGTGAGTGAGTGAGTGAGTGAGTGAGTGAGTGAGTGAGTGAGTGAGTGAGTGAGTGAGTGAGTGAGTGAGTGAGTGAGTGAGTGAGTGAGTATGGTTTTACTTCCCTTTTAGCAATATTCCAGCAATATCACGGCAGGGGGACACCAGAATGTGTACCCATGTGGGGAATTAACCACAGGCCCTTGGCATCACGAGCAAACACTTTAACCACTTGGCTACCCCACTGCCCCTTGCATAGCTTCTGACTTTTATATGTTTGAGTAAAGACAAAGCATCAGTCCACTTCAGTGTACATGTGACCAGACTGTTTTATAGTGATGGGGAGTGTATTCAAATACTTTTTGTCAGCGCTCCGTTCAAACAATTCTCAATCACACATTTTGTACTCATCTCTTGAGACCTACAGCGGGTACCCTGGGAGGGTGGGGTAATAGGTGGGTTGGGTACCCGGGGAACCCGGGGAGGGTGGGGTAATAGGGGGGATGGGTACCCGGGGAGGGTGGGGTAATAGGGGGGTTGGTAATAGGGGGGGTTGTGTACCAGGGGAGGGTGGGGTAATAGGTGGGTTGTGGTACCCGGGGAGGTTGGGGTAATAGGGGGGTTGGGTACTCGGGGAGGTTGGGGTAAAAGGGGGGTTGGGTACATGGGAAGGGTGGGGTAATAGGTGGGTTGGGTACCCGGGGAGGGTGGGGTAATAGGGGGGTTGGGTACGCGGGGAGGGTGGGGTAATAGGTGGGTTCGGTACCCGGGGAGGGTGGGGTAATAGGGGGGTTCGGTACCCGGGGAGGGTGGGGTAATAGGGGGGTTCGGTACCCGGGGAGGGTGGGGTAATAGGTGGGTTGGGTAACCGGGGAGGATGGGGTAATAGATGGGTTGGGTACCCGGGGAGGGTGGGGTAATAGTTGGGTTGGGTACCCGGGGAGGGTGGGGTAATAGGGGGGTTGGGTACCCGGGGAGGGTCGGGTAATAGGGGGGTTGGGTACCTGGGTAGTAAATTTTGACTCGTCCAAGCCCTGCTATTCAAACACTACTGAACAAAAGAAAAAGATGTGTAGGGTCAGCTAGTTTGGGCACAGACTAATAGAGAATAGGAAATACAAGATTCTTTGCCCCATGAAACACAAGACCTCTTGGACAAATTATTTGAAAATAAAGGACCTCCTTCAAAGAAAAAAGTTTACTGTATATGACCATTGAAAAGCCGATCTCATAGATAAGCCGAGGTATTAACCTGGTCCTTGAAATCTGTATCAAAATGTTATGTGCGGTACATAAGCCGGACCCCCAACCTAAAACTATGTCCCATCATGATCCGTCATCGGAAATAGAATATCAACAAATCCATATTGAATTACGCAAGTTAATCGTGTCATTACACCATCGGTAATAAAAAGTGTTCATTGTATATTTGGACTCATGTTTGTAATCTACGTTATCTATTTTATTAATTTAATCCCTAAACAACTATCCTGTACTAGGTATCACGCAGTAAACATATTTGTCTTTTCACCTGGCTGTTATATAGAAGGTAAGAATTAAAATCAAATTGTATAAGGTCATAAAGTAGAATGGTTAGCCCAAACCATTGGGTGACAGGTCCGCTGACTGGATGTTAACTTCTAGGAATCAACAAAAGTTATTTTCTAAGTTAAGGGTCAGACTGATCAACTCAGGTGCCATCTTCCTGAGGCAAGTGCATTAACTGACTATAAAAGTCCAGTTACCACCCTTGCCGAACTAGACTAGAATTTCTGGGCACGATCGTAGCACCAGCTGTGGTTATTACGAGCTGTGTCCCTTCTATGCCTCTCCTATAGACCAATCAGATTCCAGCTCTTGTATCACTTGCATTTGCTTCAAACAAAATGGCGGCGCCCAGTCAAGACGATGTGATCAGTAATCAAGATCTATATTATGATAAAACGGGTCTAACATCGCAAAGTGCATCAAATCACGAGAGCACCTTGATTAAAAATATGAAAAGATTTGGAAAAATTGTGCTCACGCTCAGTTGGCGGTGTACATCCTTTGCAAATCCTGCAATCGACCGAAATCTGCACGACAGTTTACAAACCGAATTTCAATTACTTTACACGATTTTGATTGGACTATGCATAGACTTGTTAGTCCAGCCAAAATATAACTCCATAATACCAGCCTAGTTCCAGGGTGGAAACTGGACCTTTAAAGTCATTTAACTTCCTTGCCTCGGGAAGATCTCCATCCCTGTGAAACACAAGATCTCTGTCCCTGTGAAACACAAGATCTCCGTCCCTGGGAAACACAGATCTCCGTCCCTGTGAAACACAGATCTCCGTCCCTGTGAAACACAGAACTCCGTCCCTGTGAAACACAGATCTCTGGTCCCACGAACACAAGACCTCAGGCCTCATGAAACCCACTATCTCTCATTACAAGATCACTTGCCCTGTGGAACACAAGATCACTTGCACTGTGGAACACAAGATCTGTTGCTCTGTGGAACACAAGATCTCTTGCCCTGTGGAACACAACTTCTCTTGCCCTATGGAACACAGTGCATTTTTCAGTATGTTCTATTAGTGTAGTAGCAGATAAATGTATACATTAAGTGATGACTGAATTAACAGTACTTTACACAAGGTCTACATCAGTTCATGGCAGAGCTGGTCAATCCTTCAACTGTGTACAACTAAATATGTCCTTGGAAGTTACTCTTATGACAACAGTGGAAGGAAGAGTGAGTGAGTTAAGATTTAACTTAAGTTAAGAGTTAAGCGTCACATGGAGAAGGAGGAAGAACTGTAGCAGCTGTTTTGATTAAATCAGTTTCAGCAAAATGCAACAGCAGTATTGTCAAAATATCTGAAGCGAACATATGTTTTGAGTAATGTGTTTCTGAAAAAGCAATAAACACCCATACCCAGTCACTTTTATTCATATTTCCTTTGTTTGTTTAGTCATGTAGAATTCTGGAAAACAACAATTAAAATGTCATGACTGCATCCACTTCACTCTCGCCTAGACTGCTAGTTGTGACCACAACAATGAGGTTTCACTGCTTGCCTCAGTCATGCAAGACCATGGAAAGTGGCTAAAGGGAGGTAACTCATTTGGAGTATTGGTCCATGTTAATTCTATGAAGTGTTCAATCTCAATTCTCTGGGTTCAAACACAAATGTCATGTTTAATTGTTTGACATTTTTTAAATGTTTACAAATGTAACATTTCTAAATAAATCTTGAAAAAAGACAAAAATAAACATAGCAAATGACATGGATTTTTTAACAACACAACAATCTTAGAAATTGAAATGAAAGTGTGATTTAAAAAAAAACATATTTCATATAAAATACAAAAACCTCCTACAAATGACATGATGCTTAGAGTCAGGCCACCACTAACCACACCACACAATCTAATCTTCAACATTTTCAACAAAAACATCCCAAGAATGATGTCATTACACTACAGCAAAAACATTCCCCTAAATGGTCTGTTTTATCATTTGACATTTGAAAAGATGATGAAATGCTATGAAAATGTAAGTTATGCAACCTTGCCTCTCGTCTTTCCACATCTGGATTTGCCTTGTGTCATAAATCTCTATCTACTGCCATGAGAGTTTAACATTACACACTCCCAAGACACTCTCCACTTCCAGGTCATTGTCAGGACAGATAACTCCGCCAGGTTGAAAACGACCACTCACCTGTAACCATTAACCTAGGTGATATACAACACACTCACTGTCCTAATGTTACAAGTAGGTGGCATACCAGGGTGTCTGCTTCCTCCAATTTGCTTTAAATCAAATTTTATTTACGCAGAAACAATGCACTGGCTAAATGTTACTTATCTCAGGTTGGTATTAGTCTGAAATAGCATCCTGCATAGAAGGAACTCAATACCTTGCCAATTTGTCCATACCTGTAACGAGCGTTGTAGACAGGTAGATCATGCAGGTACAACAGAGTTGTGACAGTTTAATGTTAAGTTTAATGATACTCAATACCTCAGATTTGGGGTGGTGGGAGTGGGGTGGTTGTGGTGGGTGGGGGTGGGTGGGGATGGGTGTCGGTGGGTGGGTGTCACTAACTACACACAAACATAAAAAAATAAATTTGTGACTGCTCTTATTTTTCTTGACATATATCACAAGAAACTGTGATAATCCTTCAGGTATCACAGGTGGCACCTTGATCAATAGACCCAGATTGAAGATCCGGGGTAGAATTGGTCTTCGGCAACCCATGCTTGCCGTAAAAGGCGACTATTCTTGTCGTAAGAGGCGACTAACCGGATCGGCTGACTTGGTTGATGCATGTCTTTGATCCCAATTGTGTGGATCGATGCTCATGATATTAATCACTGGATTGTCTGGTCCATGCTCAATCATTTACCGGCGTCATATCGCTGGAATATTGCTGCGTGCAGCGTTAAACAACAAACCAACCAAACCAACCAGCCAACTGATCAATAAATTCTCCGTACCGAACACCAACACATATATCATGTATATCATGTACACATCAGCATCATTTATTCACAAGTTTAGGCCATCAGCCCGTTACATGTTGCAACAGTCCTACAGCCAAGTTTTACATTTCTTTTCTCAAATTATTAGCATAGAAGATTCCCATATTTTGTATAGTATTCGAATAGCTCACAGACATTAACATGTTAAATTTGGGTAAACAAGGGAACATGTAATACTATGAGAAACATACAATTGTCGCAAGTGCTCATATGCACTACCATAAGGGTGACGCTATTTCTCAGGGCATTATCATTTGCAGAAGCTCGAGGTCTTCCATTAACTGCCCGACGAAAGAGGGCAGTTGAAAAGACTGAAACATTTACTGCAATCAACACGAATGTCACTGACCCACTTTTACAAATATGGAAACCTCATAGAGCAAACCAGAAGACGTCCATATTGAACGTGACGTCACGGATCCTATCCTATGACGTCACCTAACAATGGGCATGATAATGGCCCGTCGTAAAAAAATAAGAGCATTATCAAGTTACAATGACCCGCTCATTTCTGATGACATGCAGGCGGTTTAATGATAATTCTATCCATTTTAGCTATAAATATCAATATAAAATGGTATTCACTGTTAACATATAGCAGCAACACTTATCACATATTCTTACACTATGATGGTTGGTTAGTTGGTTTGTTGTTTAACGCCAAACTCAGCAATACTCCAGCTATTTGACAGTGGTCTGTAAATAATCGAGTCTGGACCAGACAATCCAGTGATTAATATCATGAGCATCGATCCACGCAATTGGGATAGATGACATGCATCCACCAAGTCAGCGAGCCTGACCACCCGATCCCATTAGTCGCCACATATGACAAGCATAATCGCCTTTTATGGAAAGCACGGGTTGCTGAAAACTTATTCTACCCCGGATCTACACGGGTCTATTCGCACTAAAATGGCCAGGACATGCAAATTTCCAGTTGAACAAAGCATAAATATGTAGTATTCATGGTGATGTCCCTTTAACTCTATATAGGTGTTTTGTCAGGACTTACATGGTGGACTAGCGCAGGTTTACCGTTTGGTTTGTCACCAGTCACTTGTCGACTTTTAAATATTCATAATGGCCAGCTGCTGTATCCTTCAAAAGTTAGAACTAGGATGAATAGTTTTTGTTCTTCAAGCCAACCTGGTCAAAATCAGCCATCTTTTCTCATGATTATTATTCTGTTAATTGGCAAAAAGTGCAATTACCTGGAGCATAGAAGTCAAATCATCAACAATATCACCAAGAAGTATTTATTCCAGTACACTAAAGCTGATAACTTTGATCAGCAGGGTGCTTCACACTGGCAGTGCATCGTGTGGCTGGAGTTTTTCAGCAGTTCGTCAATGTCAGTGTTTCTGGATGTGACATTTGCTGGCTAACCATGCATGTCAGCTCGTGTTCAAACAGATAAATGCACATTTCTCATCCCCATTATCATCGTAACATACAGAAAAAAGTCTACAACTAGTACAGCTTTAAAAAAACACCAGCATTTTATTTTGCACAAGATTCCAATCTTTGACACATTCCATGAAGAAGGAGAAATGCCAGAATGGGCATGATTTAAAAATAAAAGAGATACATATTTTCAATACATCCAATTGTTTCAAACTCTTTTTCAAAGGCGTTATGAGATTTCTGCGTCCTAATGGACATTGCCTGTGTATGCCAGCGTACACAGAGAAATTTTACATCCATTGACACCATGGTAATAGTGCATCATGAAGGATTGATTTTAAGACCATTCTTGTCATTTCTATCATTTTGTTTTCAGTTATAAGAGAATATTTTTTGTGGTGAATAATGCAAAAAATATAATTGTTTTCTCTTCATGTCCAGTGAAATTTGTCAGTGAGTGGGGTTTTATTCCACATTCTTCAGTAGTCACTAAGAGATGAGGTTAAATAGGGTTTAACATCGTGTTCAAGATTACTTCACTTGTTCATATGTGTGTGTGTGTGTGTGTGTGTGTTACCATGGTGATACCATGCCACAGTCTAACATGAATACCCCACATACACACAGTATACTGACCCCACCTGACCAGTCCTTGTCTGAGACCCTTAATGCTGAGCCAGGCAGGGTAACAACAAGTACCACCCTTTAACGTCTTTTGGAATGACGCTCTACCACTAGACCACAGAGGCGGTCGTAGTCACTAAGAAAAGAAGGGGTGGGTACCAAGGAATTTACTTGTCAACTAGACTTCGAGTGTAATTAATTATATATGTACCACATACCAGAACTACATTTATTTTCACACCATGAATCGCTATGCAAACTGAGTGGTCTTTGCGTGACAATTCAACCTTCATCTCACCGAGCTGTCCCACAGGGCTGCTGATGCCTCTTGGACATAAATGTGTTTGTTATGGTAATGACAGTGTGTTAACAAGCAGGCTATCTGGCAGGCTCACCTCCTGTCCGGGTCCGCTAGCTGACTTCTGCCGCCTCATCTTCCTCCATCAGACCACTGCAACACAATCAGATGTATTTACAGCAGCCCATCATGGGCATCATGTCGACCCTCACATTCAGGAGAACAACACATAATGTACAACACTAACAGTGCTTCTCAAACACTCCTTTCATTGACTCAGTTCCTTACTACACTTAGCATTATTAGGTTAAATAAAATAGTCTTGGTTCTCAGGCAACGCCCGCAACATCATAAAGTTTGCTGCATGTTTTGTTGTTATTTCCATTGAGCCCCGCAAAAAAACTTCAAATATTCACATCTCGAACAAACGACCCCAGCAGTGAAATGCTACAATACTTAAGTACAACATGCTTTCACCGAAATGATTAAACAAAATAAACAAAATTTGGCTACAATCTAGTCTGAACAACAAAAGCTGCCCGCCCGCACAATATTTTTTCAGAGCCATTGCCTGAGAACCAATTCTTTTATTTTTTTAAGCCTTACCACTCATGCTTTCAGTTTTCCAGTCTCACTTCAATCAACACACCTGACATCATGGTGTTGTCCCTAAGTGTCCATCGTCCTGAGGAAAAGGAGTTAACTGACTATAAAAGTACAATTTCCTCCCTTGCTGAACTAGGCTGGAAATATGGAGTTATATTTTTGCTGGACTAATGAGTCTATGCATAGTCAAATCAAAATCTTGTAACGAAATTGACATAAGGTTTGTAAACTCCTGTGCAGATTTCGGTAGATTGCAGGACTTGCAAGATCGACATGTGTACTGCCAACTCGGTGACAACAGATATTTCCCAAATCTTTTTACGTTTTTAATCAAGGTGCTCACCTGATTTGATGCACTTCGCGAAGTAAGACTCGTCTTATCACAATATATATTTTGTCTATTACTGACTGGGAGCCACCATTTTGTTTGAAGTGATATGAGAGGTGGAATCTGATTGGTCAGCAGGAGGGACATAGAAGGGTCATAACTCGTTATAGCCAGTGGAGGTGTTAGGATCGAGCCTGGATATTTCAGCCTAGTTTGGCAAGGGTGGATAGTCAACTTTTATAGTCAGTTAACTCCCTTGCCTCAAGAAGATGCCAAGTGTCGATAGAACACTTCTTCTTTGCTTCATGAAATACACTATATATACATCGTCCTTTCAAACTCTCATGCCGATATGTGAGTCACTCCGTCTACAGTCACTTACACAGATGCCTTTGACAGTTTGTATTTAAGAAATATAATACCTGATGACTCACGGCTAAACACCCAGTAATTAACTTGTTGTGCCTACATGGATCTGTTCACTTTGTTATTGTTCAACACTGCACTCAGCAATGTTCCAGCTATATGACAGCAGCCTGTAAATAATCAAGTCCCCACTAGACGATCCAGTGATTGATATTGTGAGCAACAATGACACAATGACATGCAGTCAACCATATCACCAAGCCCCCGCCGATCTGTTTGGTCACTTCTTATTAGGTTGCTGGGGAAAAAATCTCACCCAGAATCCAGATGGTGTTGTCATGTTGTGATGCAAACTAAGGCTGGGATGGGTTACTTAGGTATTCGGATTGGATGGGTCCTGAGTAGGACATGGGTATTCACAGGACTTCCTGGACCCGTGGATAGTCACGTGACATATTGTTTAAGGAGACAATAACAAAAGAACTCCATGGTTATAGGACAAGTTGCAAATGTTCGCATTTCTTTCTGACTACATGGACTATGCAGGCATTCCTCCTGACATTTATATATTTGAGTAAAGATACCGCTTCAGTCAACTTCAGTGTATGCATGATGACCAGATCGTTTTATATGTGTATCTAACTAGTTTTTCCCAGGGATCCAGTGTAAAAAAATTCCCAATCAGACATTTTGTACCCAACTCTTGATACCTACTGCGGGTACCGTGGTAAGGTCGGGTACCAAAGTAGTAAATTGGGACTCGTCTCAGTCCTAATGTGTACCGTTGTTTTCTTGGCTTTCTTCCACGCATGTGAAAAGACAAATCCTTCCTCCTAGATTCAGCAGATAGGTGTGGAAGTTCAGAAGAGCATGTCTGATTGGGAAGCACAAGCATGCAGCAAAAAGTAGATCATCCATAACAGACAAAAACAATATTGACATGTTTGTTTGTTGTTTAATGTCACACAAAGCAATATTCCAGCTATATGACGGCGCCATGAAAATAATCAAATCTGGACCAGAAAATCATGTGATTGATATTGTGAGCAACCATCCACGCCATGAGGGTATGATGACATACCATTAACCAAGTTATCAAGCCTGACCACCTGACCCTTACGACCAGCATAGGTTGGGGGGGGCCAAATAATTGCCACAGGTTAAACATGATATTGGCCATTGGCTTGCTGGGCACTGTTCCACAAAGAGATCTTAGTGCTACAACTATCGTAAGCCAGTGTTAAAGTATGGGAGTTACGATCACCTAAGCGCTAAGATGGCTTTGTGGAATGGGGCCTTGGTCTTAGATGTGCTGAAGCAGTCTTACCTGGTTAGCTCAGTTGGATTATCGCCATGCTTCCTGATCATGTGACGCTTGAGACCAACGGGTAAGGAGAAATATTTCCCACATTCATCACACCTAAACGCTTTGTCATGAGTTTTTACATGTTCTTTGAGTCTCCTTGCATTCAGAAAAGCCTTGTCGCACTTTTCACATTTAAAGGTTTTGTCCCCGATATGAATCTGAATGTGGCTTTTCAGGGAGTGTGAAGCAGTGAAGGAGTGTCCACACATGTCACAATGATATTTCTTTTCGCCTGTATGGACGACCATGTGTTTCCGCAAAACACTCCTGTCACTAAACGCCTTGCCACACTCCTGGCACAAAAATGGCCTCTCACCAGTGTGGGTTCGGGTATGGTTCTTAAGATGGGCAGTGGTGGAGAAATACTTCTGGCACACATCACACTGATGAGGTTTGTCTCCAGTGTGGTACCTGGTGTGTGAGGCGAGATGGCTTGCCCGTCTAAACCCTGCCCCGCAGAGCTCACAGATAAATGGTTTGAAGTCACTGTGAATCTTAATGTGGGCTTTCAAATCAGAAACATCAGTAAAACTTTTCTCACATGTTTCACAATGGTGATTTTTTTCACCTGTGTGGGTTTTTATATGTCTCTGTAAAGACTGAGCCCGCTTGAATCCCTTCTGACAAATATCACATTTATGTGGACGAGCATCAGAATGAACTTCTTTGTGTCGGATCAGGTCTCCAACTTGGTAAAAACTCTTCTCACAGATTTCACACTTATATGGGCGTTCTCCCGTATGTTGTCGCATGTGGACTTTCAGAGTCCCATAGAGGCTAAAAGCAACACCACAGACAACACAAGCAAATGGCTTCTCCTTGGTGTGACTACGACGATGACTCATTAACGTACTCGAACACTTGAATTTCTTCTCACAAAATTCACAAACATGAGTTTTGTGATCAGCATGTATCTTGCTATGTTCCCGCTTTTCTTTGAATCCATCAAACTTCAGGTCACATATTTTGCACTCGTAGATTTTCTCGCCTGTGTGTATTCGCATGTGCTCTTTAAGTCTGTCTGAGCGTATAAACCTCTGGGAACATATTTCACACTGGTAAGGTTTTTCTCCAGTGTGAATCCTCACATGCTTCTGGAGGTCCCCTGCCCTGACGAAGCTCTTCTGGCAGACGTCACACATGAACGGCTTATCCTGGGTGTGAGAACGCATGTGAATCTTAAGGTTCTCCTTCTGCCCAAAGGACTTCTCACAAACAACACAGACAAAATGTTTTTCTTCCAAATGCATTCGTTTGCGTTTCTGTAGAGTCCATGTTTTTGAGTCTAGCATCTGTAATGATTCTTCGGGGTAATGTGTTCCCTTGTCACCATGGCAACTGTCTATATCATCATGTGATGTACTGTGACATTCAAGCTGATCTGGGCTTTCGAATGTCTTATCACATAAGTCGCACAAATAAAATGTCTTCCCCTTGTGGGAAAGAAGGTGCTCCCTGAATTCGTCTAAATCTTTAAACTTCTCCTCACAAACATCACACTGATGGTGTTTCAGCTTATCATCGTGTTGTGAAGTCCAATGCTGAGTCAAGGCCAATGTGCTTTCATTGCAGGATTCTCCCTCATCATGTGTCAGAGTGGGACTGTGTGAGGACATTTCATCCATCTGCTCACAAGTGTGTGATCCAGCAGATGACAGGGAACATTGACCGTCTGCTCTGTCTGATAACACATCTTTGAAGTTTGTGTCAGGGTGTTTGTTCTGAGCTTCTGTGCCAGAGTGTGTCAAAGTCTTTTTCTCTGCTTTGGATTCTGAATAGTCTTCTGAATGTTTAGGTACTTGTGAATTGTCCCCTGTGGATGAAAGTGCTTGTGAATTGTCCCCTGTGGGTGAAAGTCCTTGTGAATTGTCCCCTGTGGATGAAAGTGCTTGTGAATTGTCCCCTGTGGATGAAAGTGCTTGTGAATTGTCCCCCGTGGGTGAAAGTGCTTGTGAATTGTCCCCCGTGGGTGAAAGTGCTTGTGAATTGTCTCCTGTGGATGAAAGTGCTTGTGAATTGTCCCCTCTGGATGAAAGTGCTTGTGAATTGTCCCCTGTGGGTGAAAGCGCTTGTGAATTGTCCCCTGTTGGTGAAAGTGCTTGTGAATTGTCCCCAGTGGGTGAAAGTGCTTGTGAATTTTTAACTGAGGATGTGTGTGCTCCTGAATTTGACATTGGTGGCGTTGGTGCCTGTATATTTTCCTCTGGATCTGAAGTGTATGAATCACTTTTCTGGGTGCTTCCATCTTCAATGTTAAGGTCATCACCAAAACCCGTCTGTGTATTTCCCGGCACACCAGCAGCTTTGTGTGAAGTGCTAGCCATGTCATCAATATGCCTGTTTCCCCAATCCTTAGACATCTATGTCAGCTTTTCTGTTCACCTGGTGCTAAGGGGGAACTATCATGTAAACTTGGAAGGTAGAGGTCACTGAAATGTCCCACACAATGGTGAGTTTTGGTCACTAAAACGTCCCACACAATGATGAGTTTTGGTCACTGAAATGTCCCACACAGTGGTGAGTATTGGTCACTGAAACATACTGAAACATACAGAGTACTGATCTGAACCTGTACTGGTGGTCTCCATCCTCCAAACATACAAAGCTGACTTCACAAAGAAACTCTTTTTGCAAAGCACTTGTCCCAAATAGGCAGAGGATAAAAGGTCAAGTACTTTTCCTTTCTGAAGGCAGTTTACCTCAGTGGCTATGTTCCTTGGACAACTCAAACATCTTCTTCATGATATTGAGTAAAAAAGGTTATGGTTATTTGTTATAGCAACAACATCTCAAAGATGTTCTGACCATGTCATCTCTCTCTCCAAAGATGGTTCCAGGGATATGGGGATTGGATCCATAGTTATCCCCCAGTCTCCTTCAGGTTATCTGAGACTTGTAGCAAATCTGGAAACAGAAACAGGATGGTTATATTGAAACTACATCTTCCGTAATCCAGAAAGGCAGCAATGTCATCATCGTTCAACATTTTATCCCAGTGTTTGATATAAATATCATTGCCAGGCTGCCATAAGCACCACCAGAGTTTACAAGCTTCAGGCCCTGACCAAACTCTTCAGGCCTTCATTTAAAAAACTGCAGGTTTTTGTGATAAATACACTGACATGTAAATTTACTGCAGGCCATAAGGGCTCATACAAGTTTGAAACTACTACCATTTTCCAGCTACAAGGCAACTCGCGGCCCTCGCATGTACCTGCCTATGTACCCTTGTATGTACCTGCCTATGTACCCTCGTATGTACCTGCCTATGTACCCTCGTATGAACCGGCTATGTACCCTAGTATGAACCGCCTATGTACCCTCGTATGTACCCTCATATGTACCCTCGTATGTACCAGCCCATGTACCCTCGTATGTATCCGCCCATGTACCACCTCCCTGATCATTTTCCTCATGTACCTTCTTATGTACCCTCATATGTACCAGCCTATGTACCCTCACATGTACCTGCCTATGTACCCTCTTATGTACCCGCCCATGTACCACCTCCCTGATCATCTTCGTCTTCTCATTTTCCTCATGTACCTTCTTATGTACCCTCATATGTACCAGCCTATGTACCCTCGCATGTACCCTCACATGTACCCTCATATGTACCTGCCAATGTACCTGCCCATGTACCACCTCCCTAATGCACAGACCGACTACAGATCCCGTAACCGTGGCCATCAAGGGGCATCTCAGAATCGTGGGAAGGCCTTCATTTGACACATATACTGAGACACACCTGTGTGCTCTCCCCCAATAAATCTAAACACCATTGCATTTTCAGCATGATCAGAGAGGAGGTAAATGAAACGTTTAAGTATCCAAACCTCGTAATAGCAGTTCTCAGACCCAACCCACAATTAATGGGAGATAAGATCCGAAGCAGGGGCAACCTTTAATTACGGTAAAACTTGCCACTCAGCAAGTCATCTGAAACACAGGTGATTTCGAAGCCGAAGATAATCCGAGCTAGGAAACAGCTGTATGGGTGAGACACGGGCACTAAAACCCAAACCCTCAAACCCTGGGAAGAAATCTCATAAACTCTCTGACCCATGACACAAACGGAGCACTGAATAGAAATTTAATGACAATCGTGAATGTTCAGGGTAAACAACTTATTACACCGACCCTGTAATCAATCTGATCAGAGGTTTTAAGTTTCACTCCCTATGTTTGAAATCTTGACACAGAGTGGCTGAAACCATCCAGTTTGATAATGCTCAATTTCCACTCAACAATTTGTGATTTTGTCCTGATTGCCTTGTCTTTAGAATTCCCTGTAACTGCAGAGTGTAAAACATTTACGCACTTATCGTTAAGGATGACATAACAATAAGCTACACATATTTAATGGCCGCTATAAAATATGATTCAATTAGCATGTCCCATAAAACTGATTTAGTGCCTCGTATACTTGGTACCTTCAGTGGAACTATTCTGTGGCAGTGGATATTTGCACAGCAATGTGGCATGATGTATGGAGAGGAAGGAGATATCAAGAAATAAAACTGTCCAAATATGGCACTTATTCTGATGAGATGATATTATCAGGAATCGGCTCTGATGGTGTAATAAAGATTTGCTCTGCTTTTGATGTGAGTTTACGATTAGTCCTCTACGTGTTGATTTTATCAGGAACATATTGCAGAGAGCATTATGAGCCCCTTTCAACGTTTTAACAATTTAAGAATAAAAATCCACTTGTTTTGCTACACGTATGCTAAGCCAGTGATAAATCAAGAGTTATCAAACAAACAATGTCATAATGACATTGTTCACTTAAAATTAGTCACTAAATATTCAAATCTGAATGCATCTAAACTCGACTTTGTAAATAATGCTTTCCCCATCTTGATGACCATGTGTTGTCATGAACAAATGTTTTGATAAATTCTCACATGACTGAATAGTGGCCTAAAATTATTTCTTTTCAATATGGCGAACACAACAGCCAATTCGGGAATCTGGTTTGGATTTTTGGGGGCTCTGAATAGTTACCAAGACCTGATCTTTCCCTGACAGAACATCAGCTGCACTGAGCCCCTTATTTCCCTGACAGAACATCACCTGCACTGGGCCCCATCTTTCCCTGACTGAACATCACCTGCACTGAGCCCCATCTTTCCCTGATAGAACATCACCAGCACTGAGCCCCATCTTTCCCTGACAGAACATCACCTGCACTGAGCCCCATCTTTCCCTGATAGAACTTCACCAGCACTGGGCCCCATCTTTCCCTGTCTGAACATCACCAGCACTGAGCCCCATCTTTCCCTGACTGAACATCACCTGCACTGAGCCCCATCTTTCCCTGATAGAACTTCACCAGCACTGGGCCCCATCTTTCCCTGTCTGAACATCACCAGCACTGAGCCCCATCTTTCCCTGACTGAACATCACCTGCACTGAGCCCCATCTTTCCCTGTCTGAACATCACCAGCACTGGGCCCCATCTTTCCCTGTCTGAACATCACCTGCACTGAGCCCCATCTTTCCCTGATAGAACATCACCAGCACTGAGCCCCATCTTTCCCTGTCTGAACATCACCAGCACTGAGCCCCAACTTTCCCTGACTGAACATCACCTGCACTGGGCCCCATCTTTCCCTGACTGAACATCACCTGCACTGGGCCCCATCTTTCCCTGACTGAACATCACCTGCACTGGGCCCCATCTTTCCTTGTCTGAACATCACCAGCACTGAGCCCCATCTTTCCCTGTCTGAACATCACCAGCACTGAGCCCCATCTTTCCCTGACTGAACATCACCTGCACTGAGCCCCATCTTTCCCTGACTGAACATCACCTGCACTGGGCCCCATCTTTCCCTGACTGAACATCACCAGCACTGAGCCCCATCTTTCCCTGACTGAACATCAGCTGCACTGGGCCCCATCTTTCCCTGACTGAACATCAGCTGCACTGGGCCCCATCTTTCCTTGTCTGAACATCACCTGCACTGGGCCCCATCTTTCCCTGACTAAATATCACCAGCACTGAGCCCCATCTTTCCCTGACTAAACATCACCAGCACTGAGCCCCATCTTTCCCTGACTGAACATCACCAGCACTGAGCCCCATCTGTCCCTGACTGAACATCACCAGCACTGAGCCCCATCTTTCCCTGACTGAATATCACCAGCACTGAGCCCCATCTTTCCCTGACTAAATATCACCTGCACTGAGCCCCATCTTTCCCTGACTAAACATCACCAGCACTGAGCCCCATCTTTCCCTGACTGAACATCACCAGCACTGAGCCCCATCTTTCCCTGACTGAATATCACCAGCACTGAGCCCCATCTTTCCCTGACTAAATATCACCAGCACTGAGCCCCATCTTTCCCTGACTAAACATCACCAGCACTGAGCCCCAACTTTCCCTGACTGAACATCACCAGCACTGAGCCCCATCTTTCCCTGACTGAACATCACCAGCACTGAGGCCCATCTTTCCTTGTCTGAACATCACCAGCACTGAGCCCCATCTTTCCCTGACTGAACATCACCAGCACTGAGCCCCATCTTTCCCTGACTGAACATCACCAGCACTGAGCCCCATCTTTCCCTGACTGAATATCACCAGCACTGAGCCCCATCTTTCCCTGACTGAACATCACCAGCACTGAGCCCCATCTTTCCCTGACTGAACATCACCAGCACTGGGCCCCATCTTTCCCTGACTGAACATCACCAGCACTGAGCCCCAACTTTCCCTGACTGAACATCACCAGCACTGGGCCCCATCTTTCCCTGACTGAACATCACCAGCACTGAGCCCCATCTTTCCCTGACTGAACATCACCAGCACTGGGCCCCATCTTTCCCTGACTGAACATCACCAGCACTGAGCCCCATCTTTCCCTGACTGAATATCACCAGCACTGAGCCCCATCTTTCCCTGACTAAATATCACCAGCACTGAGCCCCATCTTTCCCTGACTAAACATCACCAGCACTGAGCCCCATCTTTCCCTGACTGAACATCACCACATGGCCATGCTCGATAAACAAGGACTTGCCCTTCAAGATCATTGAACGGTTGATCAGGAGAATGCCACGTAAAAGAAAGGAATGCTTGTTGAATCGGGTTGGGTTTCCCCATTACCATTGGATACACATTCAACACACATTTTCCGAAAATCCCTTGGTGACTGATGAACCTTCCTCACCCTCAGTTTTCCCTAAGGACATGAAAATCATGACATATCAAATCCTTTATTATAATACTCCAACATTAGACACAGCTGCATATTTGGCAGAACGGTTATTCTTGAATCTTGTATAAATAATCATGATGGTATAGTATAAATAGATATCGCTGCAATGAAATTGCATCACAATGCTTTGCAGACTATTGTCATGTCATTGGTTACAATCAAATGACATCACTAATGGCTCGGCTACTGAAGCTGTCAGCAGTACTTTTTACACTTAAGACACTGATTATTACTGTCTACAAACTGAAAAAGTTGGAAGAATGATGATGGATAATAAATTAAATCTCACCCTTGTGTCTTTTGATATCAAATATATCAACGAGTGGTGATATATTTCATATCAAAAGACACAAGGGTGAGATTTAATTTATTATCCATCATCATTCTTCCAACTTTTTCAGTTTGTAGACAGTAATAATCAGTGTCTTAAGTGTAAAAAGTACTGCTGACAGCTTCAGTAGCCGAGCCATTAGTGATGTCATTTGATTGTAACCAATGACATGACAATAGTCTGCAAAGCATTGTGATGCAATTTCATTGCAGCGATATCTACAATGTAGATATCGCTTGATCGCCTTAGGGAGCCAGTTTTGGATGATAAAGGATATGAAGCACACTTTCAATACAAGAAACTTGAATTACCACTGAAGGGGAGAGAACTGTAGAAGCAC